CCTAAAACCAAAATATGTATTAAAGAAAATCACACCAAAACAATAAATTATAAAATAAACAATTTTGATTAAATTATAGGTTAGGAGAAGTGGGAGGATTACACACAGAAATTAGCTGGGACAGGAACTGAGAGAAGTTAAAAAATGACTAAGTGACACAGACATACAAATTAAAATGAACACCTAAAGGAAAGGACAAATTAAAGTCCACAGCACACTACAGTACAGTAACATCGTCATGCAAAGTAGGAGTCTTCTGAAGTCAGAATAATAAATACTTGATAACTAAAACCCTGGGTAGTTCAAACCAACAATCCAGCTCACTCCTACATAATCATTTTAACACTTTCAGATCAAAAAGGTAATTTAAAATATAATCAGAAGGTATATTTTCCCAGTACCATAATTTACACTATTTGAAATAGTGTAATAGCATTGCCAAAGATTAAAATCATCTGACCAGATATTAATCATCTTCCAAATGTATTTAAATTCAAATAATTCCAGTTATTCATAAACTGTTCTAAAGAAAAACAAACCTGTTCAGATCACAAGGGTGAGACCATAATTACTAGAGAACAAAGTTACATGTCAGATACATAGTTTAACACTTTTCTCACATCTTGAAATAAATACATATTCAATTACATTAAAAAGAAAAAAATATTACTACTCTCTACTTAAAATATGTACTGTCAGCAAATAAGCTCAAAAAAAGGGGGGGACAATATTTACCGGTCAAAGACAGATAGCTAGGGAAAAAATGGATAATTTCAGAAATGAATCTGTGGGAACTGCCTAAATATAAATTATTAGGCTTAAATCCTCTCATGATCAGGTTATAGCACTTCCTTTTGTAGCCTGAGGGACTAAGGTTACTGAAAACATAACCAAAGTTTAAGGAAAAAAAAAATTTTTTTTTTTAAGATTTTATTTATTTGACAGAGAGAGATTTATTTTATTTATTTGACAGTGGGAGAGGGAGAAGCGGGCTTCCTGCCGAGCAGGGACCCCGATGTGGGACTCGATCCCAGGACCTTGGGATCATGACCTGAGCCGAAGGCAGACGCTTAACGACTGAGCCACCCAGGCACCCCTAAGGAAAAATTTTTTAATAACATAGTATTTAGAAAGGCACTTAAAGGTAGGTCCTTATCTTCTTCATCTTCATATTCTGCCCCAGCTCACAGCAGGATCCTATCTAAAGCAGGTACTTAGGTATTTGAGTGAATAAATCATAGAGGCAGAGGGAGGTAAAGGGAGAATGTGGCCTCAAACATGTACTATCTCTGGAAGTGATTTATTTCAACAACCAACATGTTAACAAGCACACTAAAACAAGACATTAAATTTGAGATCAACATGTATGTACCAATACCCGTCTATTAATTTCTTTGCAGGCATTTAATGAAACTTTTTGCTTAAATAAAAACTTTAAAACTACTCTTTTATACTTCTAAATCAAACATGAGACGTGGCAGATTTCTAAAACCAGAGACTTAAGGCTTAGTGTTGAGTGAGACTCCTCCCTACTGAATTACAGTGAAAAATTCCTAAGTGACTTTTACCCAATTAAGCAATCCTTTTTCTGCTTTATAACATTAAGATTTATCTAGCATGGCGAACCAATGGTGACCAACCACCAAAGGCTGCCACAACCTGAGAGATAGTAGAGAAAGAAGGTGACCCTATCACCCCCGACTTTCTCAGATTCTTCATGTAAAAGGGAATAGAACTTGGTTGGTGGGAAGGGGAAAGAGACAGTTTCATTCCTTGGGTGTATGTTTTTCTTTTTCTTTTCTTTTCTTTCTTTCTTTTTTTTTTTCCTTTTGCCTGCAATTTCACAACGCTAGGCCATATCTGAAGACTGAAGTTGCAAGCTGGTGGCCTGTAAACATGTTTTATTCTGATCAGTACTTTTAAAGATTTAAATTTACTTGCCATTATTTGAATAGCAGGAAATTTCACATAAAAATCCTGATGTCTAGTGTCTCATAGAATCAGAAGACCTGGCAACAGCCGGCCTGGACAACAACAAATGGCCAGAGCTGAGTCGTGGCTGCCTCTTTTAGACAGGGGCTGGCACGGTCCCTATGTCTCTCACTTCTCATACTTGGCCACCTTCGTGCATTGACATTACCCATCCAGACCTTGTAGGTACCTAAGTTCTGGGGCTCCACCCCCATCTCCCTTGTCTACATCCTTCTGTAAACTAGGGGAAACTTCAATACAGAACTAAATTTCCACTGTACTTCTATAAAATTTTGACACACTACAAGGAATCAGGAAGGAGTTCTTTGAAAGGTACACTGGTTTCCCTCCTTATCTTTTTCATTCATTCCATTCTTGATTACTAGATGTCGGGATGTATGCTGACATTACCATTAAATTAGTTCTAGTTTATAAACTGATATGACAAGATATGCTGATTTGTCTTCAAAGATCATTGTACAGAGTACTTTACCATGAGCAAGCTCATCCATTAATACACACTCAACCTTTTCCATTTGGAAGCTGACTAAACTGACCTAAGAATAAAATTGTCACTAAAGATGCAGACAACGAATCAATCTGCAAATATGGACACTCAAGATCTTACAGGGTAAGTAAAATAGATGGTTTTTGATTAGCAATTATTAGGAGCCAAGGTGGGTTCACCGAGAATAAGACACCAAACAGATGTCACTTCCTATTCAGACAAAATTACTACATTGGTGGATCAGAGGAATGTGTTAGAAATTACATACTGATTTCAAAAAAGCCCTCTGTGAAATCTCTTATAAGATAATAAGAGAAAATATGGACTGGATAATAAAATATTTTTAATTTATAGAATAATCTTTCCCCAAGAATTTTAAACCTGTGTCTTTGGGAAAAGAGATCTCCAAGGGAATACTTCAGGGCTTGCTGGCTTTGGCTTCCTCTCTCTCTCCAATCTCTTGGTATTCAACATTATTTTTATCAATAACTTGAACAATAAAGAAGACATATCTACCAAGTTTGCAAATGACACAATGCCAAGAGAGATATATAATGGGACAAATGACAGAAATAATGTTTGAAATGACTGAGCTAGAACAAATGGATCAAAAAGAAGAATATGACATTTAATAGAGATACATATGTATCTGTGTTTAGATTCAAAGAGTCAAGTACAAAATTAGAGAGGAGGGGACGCTGCCTTAATAGTACCTCATATGAAAAAAAAATCTGATTTCAATGAACCCCAAGATTTATATGCACCAACAGTGGGATGGGGCTGCTAACGTTACTTCACGCAGCAGACAGGTGCTGTCCTAACTGTGGAATAGGACTTGTCCCATCACACCTGGAGCACTGCTCTCCATTCTCAGTGGCACCTCTTTTAAGAGGAACTCTGAAAACCCAAAGGGCTTTCAGACGAGGACAACCAGGACTGATGAGGTCACTAAACCATCTAATTCAAGAAAAGGCTGAAAGAAATGGGGATGTTCTACCTGGAGAAGAGAAAATTAGGGGAGACATGATGGCCGTCTTCAAATGTCTGAAGGATTGCTAGGTTGAAGAGGGAGTAGAATAGTCGTATGTTGTTCTAAAGGGCAGAACTAAAACTAAAGGAGAGAAAGTTATAGGGAAATCATTTTAGTTAAAAAAGAATAAAGAGCAAAGGCAAAAGCAAAAACCCTCTCCAAGGAGGAAAGCCATCAGCAGATAAACAGAACTCTCCACAGGAAGGCTTTCAGGAAGGCATTCTGATGGGAGGTTAGGCCAGATAAGTTCTGCAATCTCTTCCGACTCTACCATTTCCAACACCGGAGCTCCTGCATGTTGTTTGGTTTGAACTAGCCTTGCATTTTCTCAGACAGTCATCATGAGAGAATCTGTGTTACTACTTTCTAAGATGCCATTCAGAGGACAGAGGCAGAACTTTACCACCAAATTGGTGTGGCAGTCCCTTCAAAGCAGTCACCTGAGACGGCTGCATTCTTATTCCAGAGCTGCTAGTGCTCAAAATGTCATCGAAACTCTTTTTAGAATGCCTTGAAAATCAGTTTCTGACCCACACTAAATATAGTCTCACTGCTTCATAGCCACATCTACTATTTTTGCTGGTGGACACAAACTATCCTACAGCCAGAGCCTAGCCTCCAGTGAGAGGCCGGCAGTAAGACAAAGAATGGACCCATTTCTAACCAAAATCTATTTAGCTTGATCAGCTCCCAATGACAGCTGAATGTCAATTTCAAAGCACTCATTCATGTTTAGATACAAAAACTTACAGTAGGTACAAATTAATAGTACACAGGCTCTTCAATGCTCACAGAATGTAAATCTGAACAATGGAAGCATGACCAGAACAAGAATATAACCTTCCAAGTTCTTTGCTTTGAAGGAATGTAAATATCCTGTTTGTTTTTCTTCCCTTTCTAAAAAGCATATTACTTTCTAAGCATACTTCATGTTTTGGGCTCAGTTATAAAGACCTCAAAAACCAGTACTACAGACCTTTTGTTCTTTCCCATATTCCTTTGAATCCTCAAAGTTCGCTATTGTTCTCATTTCCAGAAGCCATGCTCTTTCAAATAAACATTCCAGGTACTTATAATACAGAGATTTTTCAAACCCAAGATACCGTTCACATGAGTATGGTTTTAATTAAGTTACATTAGTTGAACGTAAGTGAGTACAGTTTCACATTTGGGATCAATGTGTCTTTTCGTTACTATGAAAGTCCTAATCTATTTCTACAACTCTCAGCCAAAAGATTTTAATCTCCCTACACATATCATCCTGTCATATAAATGATACTTTAACTTCCTTCATGAAAAAAGAAATCCAAAATCTTATTTTATAGTCCCCTAAAAACATCATCACCACGGTGAGAATTTTAGTGGAAGTTAGTTGGGCATCGTTGGCTTGTGGTCTTTGTAGTGAGTACCTGTATCATAAATAGTTATCCACTTTTTTTTTCTTTTGTATTTTAACAGAATGCCTGGTACCCAGTAAATAAAGTTAAGAACCTGTTAAGAACTGCAGTGAAGATTTTGTTCTTTACAGATTGCAGCAAGTCTGAGTTGAGGAAGTTCTGACAGATGCAAAATGTACACCTGTTGCAGGTGCACATACAGCGTAACCGGGCATGGCTGCGAAAACACACAGAAGGACAGGAGTTGAGTTCTTACTTACAAATATGGCACAAGTTAGGGTGTGCCAACTTAAAAAAAAAAAAAGATTTAGGCATAAGCAACACTAAGGAAAACGACACTGTGGGGCATGCTAAAGTTGTGCAGAATTCCACATTTACCAAAAATATGATAAACAGCAATAGCTCCCTCCTCCCTCCCTAGAGAAAACCTAAGGAAAATTAGCTAACACTCTTGGTTTTTTTGGAGGGGGGATGGAATTATTATTACAAGCGTTTTAGTGGAACAAGTATGCACAGCAATAGATGGCACCCTCATGTAAACTAATAAAAAGAAAAACGGAGTAAGCCACAGCACCCGCCAAAAGGACAAAGTTTGCTAGCATTGAAATAACCATTCCCTCCTCCTCCCTCAGCATACACACATGCCTGAAAACCAGGAAGGAGAAGAGTGACAAATACACAAAAGGGTCAAAGACGAGTATATTCAACCCTGAGGAGATATGAACAACATCGTCTTTAATTCATCAAGCACCCTGGCTCCCAAAGGAAATCAAAGTGCTTCATAAATTTCCACTTGAACAAAATAGAGGGTTTCATCTGCTACGAAAACACAGCAGCTAAGTATGATAGCATGAAACTCTGGGTAAGGATGTAAAAATCAACAGTGGGTCCAATTGGTATCAGATATGAAATTTAGGGAGGCTTTCTGACTCCTTTCTGGTTGAGTGGAGTTGTACTAATTGCTATAGGCACATGGGGCAATCTATTTCACCTCTGTCCTAACAACCAGAGCAGGGGGTCTCCAGTGACTGCCCAGTGGCCAGAGCCGAGCAGAAACACAAAGCCATCGCAGCACCCTGAAGAGGCCCTGGCACAGAACCCACCCAGAAGAGCACCACCTGACGGATCAATGCCAGCACTTCCTGTAACACCTGAACTTTTTTTTAAAAGGCTTCTCAGTCAAAGGACTGGGCCAATCTGACTTGGCTTAGCTTGTGAGATCTGATGAGACCACACTGCACTGTGGCATGGTTGTGGCGATTAGCAGCATCCCAATAATGCCTAATTCCCAACATGAAGAAAAACGAGAATTAATTTTTAAACTCTCATAGACTCAAGACATTCCTCTTTAAAACCTGACTTGTGATGAGGAACATATCAATGCTACTAAGTCGCTACCAGCTGTCATACTGGAATCCATCTGTTATTTTATCAGTTCAGTCTGACTCTCCAACACACACAGGCTCCGCCCCGCAAAGAGGAGAGATGCAAAGTATGCTTAGCAACAGGGAGATGCTTCGTGAGAAGTAGTTTGGGATTAACCATATAAGCAAGTGTCCCTGTATGTACATTTATCATATACACACACACACACACACACACACACACACACACACACACAAATTGCAGTAAAACGTTTTCAAGATGCAGATCTGAAAACACACTCACAGTTATCTACAAGATTAAAACAGTGCATTTACATAGTAAAAACTAAAAAAAGAAAAAGAAAAAAACACCACTGTAATATACAGTTAGGCAGTAAGCCTGACCAAGCAGTGCGTTTCTGGATAATTACTAATTGTTAATTACGGCAAGAAAGGAGATCTGGTCATCTATAAGAAAATGTCAACAAAATCCCACAGAAGCCATAAAGAAAAAGTAACTTACAAAGCAGTTTTTAGAAAGACCCAGATTTTTCTCAAATTCTCTATTCTATCAGTGTTGCCCATGTCTCGGGAGAGTCTGTCTCTGTAATGATCCTCTCTGTAGATAACATACACGAGAGTTTTAAAGCAAAGGTAAAACATAAATAAGGTTCTGTTTATCTTATACTAACAGGAATGACTTGTCTTCCAATACAAATAGAATTTCAAGGACTTGCTGCCTTTTTTTAAAAAGTATTAGTTAATAGGATAGCAGTAAAGTTAACTCTGATTTGAAGAATCTGTGCAAATTAACACCTTTCTGAAAGACTTCAGTTTGAAGCCATGTTTATTACTCTATTTTATACCGTAGTTTTCATAAGAAGAAAAATAATTTAGAGACTAAATTAATAATAAATAGATTAAGCTAAAGTCCTGAGAAACGCACTGCCTGAAAAACTATCTTGTTACAAAACAGAATTATACACACACAGTACTTGAGGAGAATGCCATTAAGAACCATGCAATTCTAAGGCAGTTAGTAAGCTATGAAAATGTCCACAGTTATGTGCTTATGCATATGCATGTACAGATATACAATAAATGTACATAAAATTCATGGTTCGTAACACTTAATGTAAAACATTTATATAGCAGGAATTCCAATTACAACTACTTTTTACAGCACTTAAAAAAGACATTATATTCTCGAACATATCTATAATTTAAACATAAATTCATAAAATATTTTAGAATACTCCACATACTCAAGGTCAATGAATCAAGAGAAAAATATTAAAATGAACTTTTTGTTCATATGGAGATGTCTTAAAAGCATAAAGTAACATGATGCCAACCCCATTTGACTGCAGTAAGACTATTTTTTAAATGCTGGGTCAGGGGTTGGGTTTCACTGTACTATCCTATTAAGATAGTTACAGTCTGCTTAAAAATATACAAATCCTGGCAGAAGCACTCTTTGTGTAATTTTATTATGGCACCCAAACCAAACTCGCATTTACTCAAATTTGTTCCTTCTCGTTACAAAGTCTCTTTCTGTTGCTGAACAACTTCTATGTGACAAAGGTTCCGCCCTCGTGGCTCATCATGGCATGTGACGTTATTATGAACCATGCAACATGAAAATGATAGCAGAGCAAGTACTTACGGGTACATGGCCATCGTTGTCAGTTTAACAAAGATATCTTTACTGGGTGCTTCAGCAGTATTGCAAGTGAAGGCTTGTGGTGGAGGCATTTTGTGTTTCCTGCAGAAATCAGCAGGTGAAATACTATAGTCTTGTTTAACTTCATGCAGGTCTGACTTTGCAGCTATGATTAAGCAAGGTATTCTGCTGTCCATGAAGTGTTGCTACGGAATAAAAACTAAAATCAAAATCTGATGACAAGTTAAAAAATTACTACATTTAATTAAATGCGTACTAAAAATTATCTCTGGTTAGGCAAAGCATAGCCTCAAAGAGAAAGTAAACTAAGAGGCAATGACTGGCAGTGGGCCAGGGCAGTCTCTAAGACCAGGGCCAATTTTCTAATGCTGGCAACCATATGAACCTATAACGACTCTTCAGATTCACTACAATTTGAAAAAAATCAGTATTTTTTATTAAAAAGATACCATATTTTGAAATAAAAGAAATCCATCTAAATTCCTCTATCCTAGAGCACATTATTTTCATTTTTAAAATTTCTGCTTCACAATTCTATTATTTTGTTCACTATTTTCTTTTTTTTTTTTTTTAAAGATTTTATTTATTTATTTGAGAGAGAGAGAATGAGAGACAGAGAGCATGAGAGGGAGGAGAGTCA